CAAAAGCTGATCAATCCACTTTAAGAGGACCTTGCACTGGGATAATGGCAGCTGGCACTTTATAACCCCATACAGGATTGTGCACCCCTATGGGTTTATAACTTGTTGGGGCGCACAATCATTTCTTAGGAAGGGGGTATAAAGTCCCAGCTGCCTTTATCCCGCTAAGGGTGACCTCCAGGAAGTTGGCAGGATCATAGAGGCAAATTTCACCATCTTCACTGCAAATGAAGTCACCACACCAGTCCATGTCCAAATCATCTCCCATCTTCATACTCAAATCTTAGGTCCTCAACCAGGAACAAGGGTGACAAAGAGAGGGAAAGATGAAAGGCAGCAAAGAAATGACAGGTCCTCTTTAACATGACGTATTGGGTTGTGATATATCAGGCAGTTAACATCATGGCCAGAAAACCCAAAGAAGAACACCGCCGACTTGAGAGCCTCCTACAGAAACAAATATAGAACAATAAAGCCTCACATCAAAGTTATATAAATGTCAAATCTTAATTTCTCTATTGCGCGGAGCGGCGGCTGGAAAAGTTATTAGTGCCTCTGAGTGTTTCAAGTGCACTTGTCTCATACGTCTTAACACTTCCAGCTCTCACATCCCACGTAGATATTTTGTATGGAAATTTTTCTTCTATCATCAAACAAAAATGTCATGAGTATTAAGGAATCTCTGGGCAATGGGGTCCACGTTTGAAGAAGTCAGAAGAGTTACCGATGGCTCATTGGTCAGTAAGGGTTACTGAACCTTGCCTATTTCTCTTTTGTTATTCATGTTTTAGATTCTGTGCTATATGGCCAAAGGTAATATTGAATTTAGGTGTCACCGGGGAAGGATACTGTTTATGCTACGGCATACAAAGACATCTTGGACAATTGTGGACTTTCAGCTTTGGGGAAAAAGTCTGTTTTAGCAGGACTACGCCCATGTGTACAAAACCAGCTCCATAAAGACACGGTTTAACTAGTGTGATGTTGTAGGAACTGGAGTGCCGCCATAGAGCCTTGACCTCAACCCTACTGAACACGATTGGGATTAATTGGAAAACCAGATGTGAGCCAGGTATCTTCATCCAACATCAGTCCTGACCTCAGCTCTACTGAACAGCACTGGGATCAACTGAAATGAGGATTGTGAGCCTGGTCTTCTCATCCAACATCAGTCCTGACCTCAGCTCTACCCAACAGCACTGGGATCAACTGAAATGAGGATTGTGAGCCTGGTCTTCTCATCCAACATCAGTCCCAACCTCAGCCCTACTGAACACCACTGAGATCAATTAAAATGAGGATTGCGCTCCAGGTCTTCTCATCTAACATCAGTCCTGACCTCAACCTCACTGAACACTTTTTGGATGGATGAGAACACCAATTGTGAGCCAGCTCTTCTCAACAAACACCAGCCTTGACCTCATCCCTACTGAACCCCTTTGTGATGAGTTGGAATGCCGATTGAGAGCTGGTTTTTCTCATCCAATATTAGTATCGGACCTCACAAATGTTCTTTGGCTACTGTTCTTTTGGCAAACCTACTGTACCCTTTTAGGAAGAACTGAAATAAGGATTGTTGACCAGGCCTTCTCATCTAGCATTAGTCCTAACCTCAGCCCTACCAAACACCATTGAGGTCAATTAAAATGAGGATTGTGCATCAGGTCTTCTCATCTACCTGACCTCAACCTCACTGAACGCTTTTTGGATACATTAGAATGCCAATTGTGAGCCAGGTCTTCTCATCAAACACCAGCCTTGAGAATTCAGAATTGAAATGAGGATTGTGGGCCAGGTCTTCTCATCCACTATCAGTACCGGACCTCACAAATGTTCTTTGGCTACTGTTCTTTTGGCAAACCTACTGGACATCAGCCTTGACCTCATCCCTACTGAACCCCTTTGAATGAGTTGGAATGCTGATTGTGAGCCAGGTTTTCTCATCCAATATCAGTATCAGACCTAACAAATGTTCTTTGGCTACTGTTCTTTTTCCACTATCAGTACTGGACCTCACAAATGTTCTTTGGCTACTGTTTTTTTGCAAACCTACTGGACATCAGCCTTGAGCTCATTCCTACCGAACCTCTTTGTGATGAGTTGGAATGCCGACTGAGAGCCAGGTCTTCCCATCCAATATCCGCATCGGACCTCACAAATGTTCTGTGGCTACTGTTCTTTTGTCAAACCTACTGGACACTATTGGGAAGTTATTGAAATGAGAATTGTGAACCAGGTCTTCTTTTCCAACCTCAGTCCTGACTTAAAAACCACGGAACACCTTTTGGATGAATTGGAATGCCAGTTGTGAGCCAGGTCATCTCCTCCAACATCAGTCTAGACCTCAACCCTACTGAACCCCTTTGTGATGAATTGGAATGTCTATTGAAAGCCATGTCTCCTCATCCAACATTAGTACCTGACTTCATAAACATTCTTTGGCAACTGTTCTTTTGGCAAACCTACTGGACACCATTGTGATGAATTGAAATGAGGATTATGAGCCAGGTCTTCTCATCCAACATCAGTACCTAGCCTCAAAAATGTTCTTTTGGCTGAATGAGCACAAATTCCCACATACACTCTCTAAAATCCTTTAAAAAGCCTTCACAGAAGAATAAAGGATGTTAGAGCCATAAAAGTGGGCCAAATCCATATTAATGGCCATGGTTTTGGAATGGGATGTCCAACAAACTCATAAAGGTGTGATGGTCAGAACTTCACCAACTTTTGGCCATATATGTAATGGGAGAAGTAGACTTTTTTGAGTATTTCTGAGCTTCTATAGCAGTGTTCATCTAATAGTAGAGCTTCTAATAAAAATGTACAAATTGTACAATTCTGGCACCTGCTGAGATGAACAAACCCCTGTGTGTGTGCGGAGGTATCAAGGTCCTACCTTTCCTCAGGGCTTGTGCTGCTCCATGTGCTGGCATCCATCTTAGGTCTGCAAAGCATTGTGGGATCCTTTATGCTTTCAGCCCTCCCAGGAGGTGGCGGCTTATCACATTTAAGTCTGCTGTTTGCAGCTGTCCATTGCATTCGTGTCCTGTCTGTTGCTCAGCAGAAAGCTCCTGTTCAGTTAACTCTTTGCTCTCCTGGATACCGACACGGCTTTGGCTAAGACTCCTCCTGGCTTCTAACCCCGGTTCTGGCGACCATTCTTCCTGGCTTCTGACCTCGGCTCTGGCGACCATTCTTCCTGGCTTCTGACCCCGGCTCTGGCGACCATTCTTCCTGGCTTCTGACCCTGGCTTTGGCTACGATTCCCGCTGGTTCTCGACTTGATTATCCTGGAAGACGACCTCGGCAGGAGAACTTCTGTCCTACCAAGTCATCCGCTGTTGCTGTCGGACTTGCATAGACTCTTGCCTTGTTTCTGTGTAAATAAACCTACCTTTAATTGCACCTCCTTGTGTGTCTGGCTCCTCGCTCCCTGACAGGAGGTTGCATCATCCTGGATAGGCCAATCAAGATGGCCCAAGATCCTGAACCAGATATGGATCGGGATCGAAAGGATCAGAGACATCACATTGCTGGAAGGAAGGTGAGTATAATTCCACTTTAAAGTAATTTGTAATTTGACTTTCACCTTTCTACAGACGACTTCTTTCATATTTTTATTTTTTTAATCAGTTCAGAAATCTCTAGAAATGTCTAGTTGTTTCAGCTCTGAGGAAGGGAGCTCGTCTCCCGAAATGTGTTAACACACCGTCGCAAGACCACCACTTGCTGGGACTGTAACATTGGTTCCTTGCTTTTATTAATGACTTTTGGTTTGTGAGTATACACTTTTGTCATTCTCAATAAATTCTTTTTTATCATGGTAATGCACGAAGAGAGTGCGCCTGCAATACAATATTTTGCAGTGAAGGTTCCGCCCCCTAGTGGAGTGAAAGTGGCAGATCTGAGCGGTGACAGTGCCGCGGTGGTATGGGATCCGGGCGCTGATGACGTCACCTCTTATCTCATCAAATGGATTCCTCTGAGCGGAGGGAGGCTGAGTCAGGTACTGTGGCAGATATCAACGATGAAAAAGAAATATTGCAAATTCAGCCCTGCACCTGGAACATAAAAATAGAAATGTATGTAAAAACACAACAAAACAAAGTGTGTAACGCAGCCAATCAGATAACCAAATGTATGCCATTTGCAGTATAAAATAAATGGATGATTGATAAAAAATAAACATAGATGCTGCTGACCTCCTCCTGTCTTCCCTCACTTGACAGCTGTCAGTCCCGGGAGGTGAACACAGCGCGGTCCTCACTCACTTGGAGTACAGCACGGAGTACCAGGTGTCCATCTCTGCCCGCTACGCCGATGGATCACAGAGCGATGCTTCCTCCGCCCCCGCTACAGGACAGGTCTTCTTTAATCAGATTTTTGTCCTATAGTCATACTGCATCTTACTGTGTCACAGCCCCTCCCCCTTTAAGTGGCACAGCCCATTTGTTTTTGGTGAACCCAGTATAGTAGGTCAAGGTGGTGAAAGCAGATGTCAAGTTCTCGGTAACCAGCTCCAACTACAAACTCTTGACTTCTATCTAATCTGTAGCTAAGCTCCACCCCAACATTCCGGTCTACGAGACTGAGGCTATGGCATTGGACTCTTGAAAGGCAGGGGTGGGGTTTACCCTAAGAGGGAGCAGGACTTAGTCCATAGTAAAGTATAGGTCGAGGTTGTCTGCATTGCATTTGCCAGGAGCTTCTCATAGAAAACAATTGAAAAGTTCACAAAGATACTACAGGGACAAGCACTTGTTACTTGAGATCCTTGTATATCTAGCAGGTTCTCTTTAACATTTGACAACAGCAGCAAATGCTGCTTCAGTTAGCTTCATATTTGCAGGCTTATAAATACTTGGTGAGGGATGTAGACATCCTGAGGCCAGCATTTGGCTGAAGTTTCATAGACATGGATACTCTAGGTCAGCCATTCTCAACAAGGGTTCCATGGAACTTGCTAGGGGTTCCTTGAGCTGTAGCTAATTGAATTCCCATCTCATGGTGCCAATTTTGAGGTCTTTACCACTTTGCAAAGCCATCTGCATGAAACCAATGATATTTTTAGCTATCTGGAAGAGTGGCATTCTGAACACTGGCCACCAACATACGGGACATTCTTCCCATTGACCACCAATGTAAGGGACATTCTTCCCACTGACCACCAATGTAAGGGACAATCTTTCCACTGACCCCCAATGTAAGGGGCATTCTTCCCACTGACCTCCAATGTAAGGGGCATTCTTCCCACTGACCACCAATATGAGACATTCTTCTGACTGACCACCAATGTAAGGAGTATTCTGTCTATTGACCTCCAATGTAAAGGACATTCTTCCTACTGACCACCAATATAAGGGACATCCTTCCCAATGTTCAACAATGTAAGGGACATTCTTCCCACTGACCCCCAATGTAAGGGAAATTCTTCCCAATGATCACCAATGTAAGGTACATTATTCCCACTGACCACCAATGTAAGGGACATTCTTCCCACTGACCACCAATGTAAGGGACATTCTTCCCACGGACTACCAATGTAAGGCACATTCTTCCCACTGACCACCAATGTAAGGGATATTCTTTCAACTGATCACCAATGTAAGGGACATTCTTCCCACTGACCCCCAATGTAGGGGACATTCTTCCCACTGACCACCAATGTAAGGGACATTCTTCCCAATGACCACCAATATGAGACATTCTTCTGACTGACCACCAATGTAAGGAGTATTCTGTCTATTGACCACCAATGTAAGGAACATTTTTCCCAATGACCTCCAATATAAAGGACATTCTTCCCACTGACCTCCAATGTAAGGGACATTCTTCCCACTGAGCACCAATGTAAGGGACATTCTTCCCACTGACCTCCAATGTAAGGGACATTCTTCCCACTGACCCCCAATGTAAGGGACATTCTTCCCACTGACCTCCAATGTAAGGGACATTCTTCCCACTGACCTCCAATGTAAGGGACATTCTTCCCACTGAGCACCAATGTAAGAACATTCGGCCCACTTAATACCAATGTAAAGGATATTCTTCCCACCGATCTCCAATTAATTTGTTTTAGCCGGGGTTCGCCCAGATATGAAAATAATTTCAATCATTCCTCTGGGGTAAAAAGTTTGAGAAAGCTGCTTTAGATCCACCACCATCTTCTAGTTCTCAGAGGAGTTACCCTGCTTTCTGTGATGCTGCACCTTTGCCTTGATGTAAATCTTTGTTCCTTTTGTTGTTCATTGTTTTGATCTTCCATAATATTGATGTCTGGCTTACCGGCCCATATTTCCCATGAGGGCTTATTAGCCTTATTGTCAGGCTGGAGGTCGCAGGAATAATTTATATCTTAATCCCAGTTTAGACATGCTTATTGTATTGTGTAAAGAATGTTTTCAGAGAACAGTCCTCTGTAAAGTCTGCTGTGGTCTCTGACAAACCATAGATAGTGTGAGATGATCGGAGGCTGTAAGCTCCCTGCTTAGGGACTCCATAATTCATGTAAAATGTAAATAGATACTTCACTTCTTGCTCCCTCATGGTTGAGGAGTTGCAGCACATAGCTGACTTCCCGTCCACAAATGCCACAAGAGAAATTGTCTGCTTGTAGTCTTGTGGCCTCTTCTAGCCTCCACCGGCACTTCTCATAGGTTGCCCATCAAAGCTGGGCTAATTTTCTCCCAGGTGACATACACTATATTGGCAAATATTGGTCGGCCGGCTTTTCCATGCACATGACCTTTAATGGCCTCCCAGTCTTAGTCCGTAGGGTTCAATATTGGGTTGGCCCCGCCCTTTGCAGCTATAACAGCTTCACCTCTTCTGGGAAGGCCGTCCACAAGGTTTTTAGGAGGGTGTCTATGGGAAGGTTGGACCATTCTTCCAGAAGCACATTTGTCAGGTCAGGCACTGATGTCGGGGGAGGAGGCCTGGCTCGCAGTCTCCGCTCTAATTCATCCCAAAGGTGTTCTATGGGGTTGAGGTCAGGACTCTGTGCAGGCCAGTCAAGTTCCTCCACCCCAAACTGGCTCCTCCATGTCTTTATGGACCTTACTTTGTGCACTGGTGGGCAGTCATGTTGAAACAGGAAGGGGCCATCCCCAAACTGTTCCCAAAAAGTTGGGAGCATGAAATTGTACAAAATGTCTTGGTATGCTGACAACTTAAGAGTTCCCTTCACTGGAACTAGGGGGCCAACCCAACCCCTGAAAAACAACCCCACACCATAATTCCCCCTCCATCAAACTTTACACTTGGCACAATGCAGTCAAGCAAGTAACGTTCTCCTGACAACCGTCAAAGCCAGACACATCCATTGATTTGCCAGACAGAGAAGCATGATTGGTCACTCCAGAGACCACGTCTCCACTGCTCTATCCAGTGGCGGTGTGCTTTACACCACGGCATCCAACGCTTTGCATTGCACTTGGTGATGTAAGGCTTAGATGCAGCTGCTCGGCCATGGAAACCCATTCCATGAAGCTCTCTACGCACTGTTGTTGGGCTCATCTGAAGGCCACACCAAGTTTGGAGGTCTTTAGCTATTGACTCTGCAGACAGTTGGCAACTTGTGCGCACTGTGCGCTTCAGCATGCGCTGACCCCGCTCTGTCATTTTACGTGGCCTACCCTACCCTACAACCCTCTGGGCCTTTTACTCATCAATAAAAACTTATTGGATCCCGATCACTCTCTGACTTGGTCAGCAAGTCAGAGACAGGGAGTAGGAATTGGCCTACTAAGTGGTCCAAGCTACATGTTCAGAAGCAGACTCTACAACTGTCATTGAATGGAAATAGCAGTCCCTTAGCCTATGCTGAGAAATACATGGGGCTGGCTATTATTTCCCCCTCTGAAAATGCCAGCAGCCCGACTCTCATGCCAAACCAGTGGCTTCAAAACTGTCTTCGTCGCTGAATTGAAACAAGCATGCAGCTCAGAAGTTCTAAAACTCGAGAGAATGTCCAGCGCTTCAGAAATGATTATAAAAGGCCTTCAGACTTCAGTGTGAGTATACTTGCTGTGGCCTTGCTCCGGGTCCCAGGTAGGTGAGGTCAGAGAGGCCAGGAAAGTAGCATTTTCGGAAGGAGGACTGCAACTGCAATTCCCATGCCCTCTTGAAGTCCCCACCCCCCCCCCCCCCCCCCCCCCCCCCCAGTCATTTTTTCCTAATGCCAGTTACATGACATGCAGGGATCGCTCCTTTTTTTGGTAGCAGGCAGTTCTTGATGATGTGGAGAGCCACAGTAATGTGATGATGGGTGTTGTGGTGACGCCTCCTCAGGGGTTGGTCCTTGATGCCTACTCGCTGGTGCTGCCCCCTGCAATACCTCATCTACACCACAAGATGTCCTCAGTCTTCTGCTCCGCATCATTTCACTTAGAAGCCTGAGGCCATCTTCTGGTGTAAAATAGGTATTTCAGGGGGCAGCACCAGCGAGCAGGTGAGTGTTGCAGCCAGAGCTGCTCTTTTTCTTGGTTGCCCTGCAAGCAGTATGTAGCGGAAATGGGTGTCTAGTCACATGATTTGTGAGGGTGTTGGGCTGCTGAATTAATCGTTTAATGGGTTATGTAATGCGATTACCCCGGATCCTCGGTTGAATCCGATCTCCTCCTTTCCTTTTTAATTAGAGCCGATTTGTTCTTGAAGTGGGTGAAGCGTCGTGGGGTGTATGTAAATGTCTCTGCAATGTATTTCTGTCCTTGGGTAATTAATTACCAAGGGTGTTTAGTTCCACTAATATCGTGTAATTGGTTTCCTGCACGCCGCGTAGCCACCATGACGAGCGCCTTTCATCACTCTCCTCGGCTTATTTTAGAATTTACATTTTGTCAGCAGATTCTCCTTTCGGTGAGAGCGGCAGTGCATGGCGAGGGGAGTGTGCCAGGAAATTGAAAACAAAGAGTCGCTTTAATACCGTACGGCAGGCTAAATACACCGCACTACCTTCGCAGGGATTTGTCAGTTTGTTGAGCCATTGTTGGGATCCAGGCGCCGTGGCATAGTCAGGGCCGGTGACCACACTTTTCTCTACTGCATTTAAGCAATGCAACCTGGTCATTGGATTTCACTCACTCTCTGACTGCTGGTCAGCAAGTGGGAGACTGGAAGCTCCTATCATTAATTGGTGCCAGGAAGAGATCTACTAATGGGGTCACAGAAACCAGTGTTCGGCATCTTAAATTGAATAATGTGTATGGACCCCAATAGTTTAATGGGGAACAGGCATTCGTCCTTTGCAGGTCACCTCCTGGGTCTGTCGGCATGGAGAAGTCCCTCTTTTGCCGACCAGCAGTCAGAGAGTGAGTGGGATGCATTGAGAAACAGGCAATCGCAGAGCAGGTTTTCCCCACCCGCTTTGCCATCCTTTGCAGTTTACCTCCTGAGACTGTTTGCAGGTAGAGGTGAGCCTTTTTGCTGACCAGCAGTCAGAGAGTGAGGGAACTGGTGACTATAGAGCAGAAATTCCCACCCCCTAAAATAATAAGTATGCTTCCCTAATAGCACAGTGATGTCACGAGGGCTGGAGAACCCCTGAATCCTTTACTAGTCAAATCTCAATGGCTCTCGGTCACTCTCTGACTGCTGGTCAAGAAGTGAGAGATGGGTAAGTTTTTCCAACAAATTGGCCCCAGGAAATGACCTGGGGCCAATGACCAGGGGATGCATTGAGAAACAGGCAATCGCAGAGCAGGTTTCCCCACCCGCTTTGCCATCTTTTGCAGGTTACCTCCTGAGACTGTTTGCAGGTAGAGGTGAGCCTTTTTGCTGACCAGCAGTCAGAGAGTGAGGGAACTGGTGACTATAGAGCAGAATTTCCCACCCACTAAAATAATAAGTATACTTCCTTAATAGCACAGTGATGTCACGGGAGCTGGAGAATCCTTGAGCCCTTTACTAGTCAATAAAATCTCAATGGCTCTCGCTCACTCTCTGACTGCTGGTCAGCAAGTGGGAGACTGGAAGCTCCTATCATTAATTGGTCCCAGGAAGAGACCTACTAATAGGGTCACAGAAACCAGTGTTCTGCATCTTAAACTGAATAATGTGTATGGGCCCCAACAGTCTAATGGGGAACAGGCATTCGTCACCTCCTAGTACTGTCTGCAGGGAGAAGTCCCTCTTTTGCCGACCAGCAGTCAGAGAGTGAGGGAACTGGTGACTATAGAGCAGAAATTCCTACCCCCTAAAATAATAAGTATACTTCCCTAATAGCACAGTGATGTCACGAGGGCTGGAGAACCCCTGAACCCTTTACTAGTCAAATCTCAATGGCTCTCGGTCACTCTCTGACTGCTGGTCAAGAAGTGAGAGATGTGAAGTTTTTTCCAACAAATTGGCCCCAGGAAATGACCTACTAAGGGGGCCAAAAGAACCACATGTTCAGCATCTTGATTTGAAATAACAGAAGCAATCCCTTGAAGGAAACCTATGCAGAGAAAAACAGATGGGTGGCCATTAATTTTCTGAAAATGCTATCAGCCTGGCTATCATGCAATGAGTGGGCTGCCTTAAAACGCACCAAAGCAGCCCGGAAAATATGTGAATGGGCCCCCGACAGTCTTGCTGGGAGGAGAAACAATATAGCTGGGCTTTCCTGGGGAAAATGCTGCATCTGTCATGAGCTCAGTAGCCTAGGCACAGGTCACGTGACAAAGAGGAGGATCTGAGTTCAGATTGGCTGGTCCTCCCCTTCAGCATGTGACCAAATGCCAGCACTGGAGGGAGCCCAGAGCATCATTTGCTCCAGCAAATTCAATTATTTCAATTCTGCTAGAATGTAACATATATCATTTGCATCAAATTAGCGTTTGAGTAATGCAGGCCATAGACGGGTCGAAAAACCGCACGTTTAAAAAAAAAAAAAAAAAAGAAAGAAAAATCGGTTGTTCAATTGGCCGACGTTACCGCCAAGGGTAAAAAAAAATTGGCCGATTTACGTCCCGTCTACGGCCAGCATTTAATTACTTCTGTCCCCGCAGAGAGCTCCGCTATTATATTTGACATGAAAAAGTCTTGCGGTTGCAACAATATATCTATTTGTATCCATTTCAGATACAGATGTTTTTATTCGGATACAAATAGATACATTGTTGCAAACCGCAAGACTTTTTCATGTCAAATATAATAGCGGACTGGAATTCTTCTTTCTTTCTTCTTTCTTCTTCTTTCTTCTTCTTCCTCTCATGTGTAGATTTTTTTATTGGTAAAAAGATCGGCCGATTTGTCCATCATTGCCGGGAAAATTGGCCGATCGGCAAAATCGTATTCATGTCAAATATAATAACGGACTGGAATTCTTCTTCTTCTTTCCTTTCTTCTTCTTCTGCTTCTTCTTTTTTCTTCTTCCTTCTTCCGCTTCTTTCTTCTTCTTCTTTCACCTTTCTTCTCCTTCTTTGTCTTTCTTCATCTTTCTTCTTCTTCTTCTTCTTCTACTTCATCTTTCTTCTCCTTCTTCATCTTTCTTCATCTTTCTTCATCTTTCTTCTTCATCTTTCTTCTCCTTCTTCATCTTTCTTCATCTTTCTTCTTCTTCTTCTTCATCTTTCTTCTCCTTCTTCATCTTTCTTCTTCTTCTCTCATGTGTAGATTTTTTTATTGGTAAAAAGATCGGCCAATTTGTCCATCATTGCGGGGAAAATTGGCTGATCGGCAAAATCGACCAATTTTTTTCCAACTTCACTGATGAAAAAAAAAGTGGCAAAACCCCCAAAACAGCCGACCAATTAACCCACTAACAGTGTAAAAATCGTCCGATTTTCAACCCGTCTATGGTTTGCATAACAATCCGCTAATGTGTTTCATTTCTCCGGCACAGGAGACAATCCCCGGAAGATGCCCAGGGGCCGCGGGGGGTTTGAACCCGGCCGGACAGACGGTGAGTATTTAGCCCATCACCAGTCAGTCGCACTTTCCTCCACTGCTGCGAACAATTTAACAATTCTAAAGGAGAAACTCATCTTTAAAGTCATCTTTGATGTGAGAAAAACACCTGACGTGTATCAAAAGATTGTTTATCGCTCGCCTTTTTTATTTTTCAACCAGCTGGGGCTCCGCGGCACACAAGCGTGCCGATAAACCGCTTTTATCCCCGCCACCTTCAAATAAGTCACCATCTTTCCTGAGATGTAAGAGAATTATTAAATTGTAATGTGCGCCATTGGAATACAAGTGACAGCCTGATTACCGTGTAGAGACCTTAATCATCTCCATCCATAAAACATGAAAACACGGCGAGGCGGGAGAGGTCCTCCGCAGATTAATATCAATCCTCGCCTTCGTATTGAGCGCTGAAAGGAAAAGAAATTGCCGTAAACTCCGATTTAATGCGCGTCCTGCGGCGTGGGGCGGCTGCTGGAAACGTTCATGGCGTGGAAGATTGCCTCTGAATTCTGGAGGGGTCATGGGGGGTCTTGTGGCCCTGAATGACCGATTTTGGGGGGGGAATCACCAGTCGCCATTGTTTCCCTAAAGACTGGGACTGTAGGGAATGTTCCTCCTCTGATACATTGGATTGGCTGAGAAATGGGTGCTGGAGACGTGACCCTATACCTGACCACACATGTCCCAATCAGCGTATGATCTCCTTTATATCTATCAATGACTATGATGTCCCCAGATTGGAAACCCAGCACAGGGATGGTGGTAACCCCTCATAATGGGCACAGTGGGTGTACAGACCTAAGAACTCAGCACAGGGATGGTGGGAACCCCTTCATAATGGGCACAGCGGGTGTACAGACCCGAGAACTCAGCACATGGATGGTGGGAACCCCTCATAATGGGCACAGCAGGCGTACAGACCGGGAACTCAGCACAGGGATGGTGGGAACCCCTCATAATGGGCACAGCGGGTGTACAGACCCGGGAACTCAGCACAGGGATGGTGGGAACCTCTCATAATGGGCACAGGAGGTGTACAGACCCGGGAACTCAGCACAGGGATGGTGGGAACCCCTCATAATGGGCACAGTGGGTGTACAGACCCGGGAACTCAGCACAGGGATGGTGGGAACCCTCATAATGGGCACAGCGGGTGTACAGACCTGGGAACTCAGCACAGGGATGGTGGGAAACCCTCATAATGGGCACAGCGGGGGTGTACAGACCCGGGAAACTCAGCACAGGGATGGTGGGAACCCCTCATAATGGGCACAGCGGGCGTACAGACCCGGAAACTCAGCACAGGGATTGTGGGAACCCCTCATAATGGGCACAGCGGGTGTACAGACCTGGGAACTCAGCACAGGAATGATGGGAACCCCTCATTTGGGCACAGTGGGCGTACAGACCCGGGAACTCAGCATTGTGGGATGGTGGGAACCCCTCATAATGGGCACAGCGGGTGTACAGACCCGGGAACTCAGCACTTTTGGAATGATGGGAACTTCATAATGGGCACAGTGGGCGTACAAACCCGGGAACTCAGCACAGGGATGGTAGGAACCCCTCATAATGGACATAGTGGGCGTAGAGACCCGGGAACTCAGCACAGGGATGGTGGGAACCCATCATAATGGGCACAGCGGGTGTACAGACCCAGGAGAGCTCACCAACATGGTCCCTGTGGGGGGGGTTACCTCTTTCATGTTCTAACATTGGAATATCATTGTGGGTGGACTGGACCCAACCAACATTAATCCTGTGTGCATCCTCATAAATATCCTTTTGTGTCTTGGCTGCGTGTCCAGTAATTAAAGTTCTCCAAAGACAGTGAAGACGTGTTTCATGGTGAGTTTGTTGTCAATTTTTTTTTTGTTTTTTTTGGAAATCAGTTTATAAATTGGAAAACAAGTGTGTGTGTTTAAAAGGGAACTCCACCAACCAACATTCAATGAAATGAAGTGTGGACAGTGTAGGACTAACGAATACGTCTTACCTCTCTGGTATCTTGGCTGCGTATTTTTTTTTAAAGTTCTCTGCCTGGCAGGAGTCTTATCCAGTTTGTTGTCAATACTATCATTTTAACTATTTGTTACACTAACCCTCAAGGGGTGTACAATCTAAGGTCCCTAACCCTCAAGGGGCGTACAATCTAAGGTCCCTAACCCTCAAGGGGCGTACAATCTAAGGTCCCTAACCCTCAAGGGGCGTACAATCTAAGGTCCCTAACCCTCAAGGGGCGTACAATCTGAGGTCCCTAACCCTCAAGGGGCGTACAATCTGAGGTCCCTAACCCTCAAGGGGCGTACAATCTAAGGTCCCTAACCCTCAAGGGGCGCACAGTCTAAGGTCCCTAACCCTCAAGGGGCGTACAGTCTAAGGTCCCTAACCCTCAAGGGGCGTACAATCTAAGGTCCCTAACCCTCAAGGGGCGTACAATCTAAGGTCCCTAACCCTCAAGGGGCGTACAATCTAAGGTCCCTAACCCTCAAGGGGCGTACAATCTAAGGTCCCTAACCCTCAAGGGGCGTACAATCTAAGGTCCCTAACCCTCAAGGGGCGTACAATCTAAGGTCCCTAACCCTCAAGGGGCGTACAATCTAAGGTCCCTAACCCTCAAGGGGCGTACAATCTAAGGTCCCTAACCCTCAGGAGACGTACAATCTAAGGTCCCTAACCCTCAAGGGGACGTACAATCTAAGGTCCCTAACCCTCAAGGGGCGTACAATCTAAGGTCCCTAACCCTCAAGGGGCGTACAATCTAAGGTCCCTAACCCTCAAGGGGCGTACAATCTAAGGTCCCTAACCCTCAGGGGACGTACAATCTAAGGTCCCTAACACTCAAGGGGCGTACAATCTAAGGTCCCTAACACTCAAGGGGCGTACAATCTAAGGTCCTAACCCTCAAGGGGCATACAATCTAAGGTCCCTAACCCTCAAGGGGCGTACAATCTAAGGTCCCTAACCCTCAAGGGGCGTACAATCTAAGGTCCCTAACACTCAAGGGGGGTACAATCTAAGGTCCCTAACACTCAAGGGGGGTACAATCTAAGGTCCCTAACACTCAAGGGGGGTACAATCTAAGGTCCCTAACCCTCAAGGGGCGTACAATCTAAGGTTCATCTTTAACACGTCTCGCTTTACTGCATAATTTGTTGCGGTGTTTTAACACAATTCAGGGGTGTATTTAAAAAACAAATTCATCCTGCAAAACTTCAAGGTGAATAAGGGCAAAATGAATGTTATTAGACTACTTTCTCTGCAGGTCGAATGTTTATTTGATCATGCAGAATAGAGCGAATCAGGCGGATACCACCTCTAGGTGGTGCATACTGTCATACAAAAATGACTTCTCTACGTTGGTCGTTCTAGTCGGCCGGCCATCTAGTGGCCATATTGGGGTATGTTCCGGATTCACTCCATGAAAGAATCACATCCGGCCTGGAGCTAAAATAGCCAAATAAAATTCAAATCAGTTTTGCAGGACGAATATCCCTTTTTGTTCAATAAATACAATAAAAGTGTGAATAGGCCCACAAAGACAACAACTGTCGGGAGTCAAGCTTTGGTAGAACACCATTTTCTCTGGTGCGGTCCATTTGGGGACGTTCCCTTTAAAGCAATGTGTGGTCTTTTCTTGTTGCATTGGAAGGACTGGGCAGCCATGTGAAGTCGGGAGTCAGACTGAACAATTGCGATTCCCCTGCGGAGCGCAGTCCAGCGCTCCCATTATCAGGCATACAGAGCGCTGTACCCTCTGGTGCGTGACGCCGCGGCGTCCGGTGTATGGCGGAGCACTGACCCATCACCACTCTGTCTGGGAAGAACACAGCTCTGTCATTGATTGGCCGATCAGAGATTAATTGGGGTTATCCTGCAGATCAGGATTGGATGATTGTGTGTGCTCGACAGTAGGACCTGTCGCTGACATGCAATCACATCGCTGCACGGCCCGGCCTCACTCCCCGTCTCTGATATTGCTTGTAGCTGGACTCCGGGCTGACATGACGGATGCAAATCAACTCAGGAATTGTGAACCCCTTCAGTACCGGGCACCTTCACCCCCTTCCTGCCCAGGCCAGTCTTCAGCTTTCAGTGCTGTCACACTTTGAATGGCAGTTGCGCAGTCGTGCAAGACGGTACCCAAATTATATTTTTATCATTTTTTGAGACAGGCAGAGCTTTCTTTTGGTGGTATCATCACTGGGGTTTATTTGTTGCTAAACAAACAAACAAACAAAACAAAAGGCTGAAAATTAAAAAAAAAAAAAGTTTTTCGCAAATAACTTTTTTTCTTTCTTTTTCTGCTGATGAGGCTGCACTGATGGGCACTGCTAGGCTGCACTGATGGGCAATTATGACTGCACTGACTGCACTGATGAGGGCACTGATGATGGGCACTGCACTGGTACTGAGAGGCTGCACTGATGGGCACTGATTACTGAGGCAATGATGAGGCTGCACTGATGGGCAATGATGGCTGCACTGATGGGCACTGATGAGGCTACACTGATGGGCAATGATGAGGCTGCACTGATGGGCACTGAATGATGGGATGCTGCACTGATGGGCAATGATGAGACTGCACTGATGGGCACTGATGAGGCTGCACTGATAGACTGCACTGATGGGCACTGATTAAGAGGACTGCACTGATGGGCACTGATGAGGCTGCACTGATGGGCACTGATAGGCTACACTGATGGGCAATGATGAGGCTGCACTGATGGGCAATGATGAGGCTGCACTGATGGGCAATGATGAGACTGCACTGATGGGCACTGATGAGGCTGCACTGATAGACTGCACTGATGGGCACTGATTAAGAGGTACTGATGAGGCTGCACTGATGGGCACTGGTAAGGCTGCAATGATGAGCACTGATGAGGCTGCACTGAGTGGGCACTGATAAGGTTGCACTGATTGGCACGAATGAGGCTACACTGATAGGCTGCACTGATGGACACTGATGAGCAGGCACTGATGAGGCTGCACTGATGGACACTGATGAGCAGGCACTGATGGACACTGATGAGCAGGCACTGATGAGGCTGCACTGATGGACACTGATGAGCAGGCACTGATGAGGCTGCACTGATGGACACTGATGAGCAGACACTGATGTGCACTAATAGGCTGCACTGATGGCACTAATAAGCTGCACTGATTGGCACCGATGGGGCTGCACTGATTATCAGTGCCCTGATAATCAGTGTAAATGTGTCCTGTCGGGATTGCCAGTTATCAGCTTTCCTTTCCTCACACAGTGACAGCACATAAGGAAATGAAATTCTGATAACCGTCACGTTTGTTTACATGGGATCACCTGTGATTGAACACTGCCGATCACATGGTAAAGGCCCACCGTGATTGAACACTGCCGATCACATGGTAAAGGCCCACCGTGATTGAACACTGCCGATCACATGGTAAAGGCCCACCGTGATTGAACACTGCCGATCACATGGTAAAGGCCCACCGTGATTGAACACTGCCGATCACATGGTAAAGGCCCAGCGTGATTGGACACTGCCGATCACATGGTAAAGGCCCACCGTGATTGGACACTGCCGATCACATGGTAAAGGCCCAGCGTGATTGGACACTGCCGATCACATGGTAAAGGCCCACCGTGATTGGACACTGCCGATCACATGGTAAAGGCCCACCGTGATTGGACACTGCCGATCACATGGTAAAGGCCCACCGTGATTGGACACTGCCGATCACATGGTAAAGGCCCACCGTGATTGAACACTGCCGATCACATGGTAAAGGCCCACCGTGATTGTACACTGCCGATCACATGGTAAAGGCCCACTGTGTTTGGCCCTTTACCTAGATCTGTGATCAGCTGTGTCTGAAGGACATTGCAATCACAGAGCGTGTGCGATGCATGCCTCGGGGCGCAGTTCTTGGAGGAAGTCTATGGGCGCCCTCCCAGAACTAGATCTCCCCTCTGTAGCTGTATTTCGGCTATAGTGAGTCGGGAAGCGGTTAAATTGTTTGGGTTTTTTTGCACACAGTGTGTGCACCAGCCCATGTACAGCAGAGCTCAGACTGTAAAAGGGAAATGCAGCA